CTCTGAAATGGCTCGTCTGGGAGGTTTGTGACCCCCACCCCTTTGTTGCGAAGGCCTTACGGCCGGTGCCGCCGACCCTTCAGACGGAGACGACGAGCAGGACAAGGACGTTGAAGAGTAGGAGGCGGAGGACGTCAGGGAGCAGGAGGGGGGAGGAGGAGGAGGAGGACGAGGAGGAGGAGAAGGAGGAGGAGGAGGAGGAGGAAGGAGGGGAACAGGAGGGATTACAGGGATTACAGCCTTCGCGTAAATAGCGAAAGACCCATAACTCACACTCTACCTCCCCCAAAACTCCCCGAAGAAGAAGACGAACAGGAAGGTGTACAACACAGAAGCTGGAGGCCATGAACGGGAAGTACGTGGAAAGCTCCAACGCCTATACCACGAGCGAGTACCTCACGCCAGCACTTGGAAACCAGAATAACTGAAGTTTCACTCCAACCCAAGACCACGCAGCCACGAGGACGTATACACGGGTGGTTCCAATCAGAGAGGAATGGCAGTTCATCCGAAACGGAGTCTGCTCGATTACGGCCCACGATATTGGAAAGCGCAAACAAACCAGTAGTCATCGGGCAACCTCGAACTCCCACTGCGCAGGCTTGCGACGAACGGCACCATAATGATATCGCATCCACCGCAGACGGCCTCGCAACCAGACCACTCACTGAAACAAACATAGATTGAATTCGCCTCCAGACCACCAAGCCAGAATATGCATAGAGACCAGCGGAAGGATAGGGCGCAGCACCCAAACACCCCGACGGGATACCGCGGCCCGGAGCGGGCGGGAAGCCGAGGACGATGCACAGCGGGCGCCTGTTGGAAATCTCCCAGAACCGCGCTCCAGAAATACACCCTCTGAGCGGTGATGGGAGAGTGCGGCACTATAGATGACGACACCAGCAAGAGCCAAAATACACCCCCCGTGCGGTGATGGGGAAATGCGGCACTATAGATGACGACGCTGCAATGGCCTTGAAATTGTGAATTCACTCCCCTTCGTCACCAGGAGAGGCTGGACGATGCCGTTGTGAGCAAACGACTCCCCAACACGGCCCAGACGCCCTGGTGTCCCTCAAGCGCCGACGCGGAGGCGGGAAGCTAGGCTAGCTGAGCGAGAAGGAGCCAAAAGATGGGATCACGCGCCCCGCCCACCTGTGCTTGAGAGGGGGGGAAAAGGAGGAGAAGGAGGAGGAGGAGGAGGAGGAGGAGGATCAGCACGAATAGAAGGAGGAGGACGAAGAGACGGAGGAGGGGGAGCCCCTCTCCTTCCTACTTCTGGTGGTGGCGGTGGAAAACAAGCCTACCAGTCTTTGGGGATGGCGACGTCCGGTCCGCCACCGCACCGTTGCCGGGCCCCGTCTCTCTGCCGCTGCTCACCGGAGCGGGCTCGAGGACAGCACTCGACCAGAGGGACAAGGGAAGTGAACGGAGGGGAGTGGAGGAAGGGAGGGAAGGGAAGGGAGGGGAAAGGGGGAAGGGGAAGGGGAGGGGGAAGGGAAGGAAAGGGGGGGGAGTGGAGGAAGGGAGGAGCAGAGCTGGAAGGGCTTTCGCCTGTACAACTTTGCGGATTGGCATCCACCCCATCTTCCTCACGTTCCTGTTTGTCCTCCTGCTCGCCCTTCTCGTCCTCCGCCACATCACCACCCTCGTCCTCCTTGTTCCCGCCCCGCAGGAGCATCTCAACCTCGCTGGGCGTGCCCATCAGCTGCGTCGAGATGCTCGACCTGAACGCCGGGGCCAGGCGGCAGCGTGCCTCCTGCTCCTCGCCCTCCTCTGGCGCGTGCCCCTCAGCGCTGCCGAGCGTGTCGGGCGAGCTTAGGGGCACGAGCAATGACATAAACATAACAACTCGGAGGTCCGCGCGGATTCCTCGCATCGGCGCTGGGGCCCCCCGGGCGGCGCCTCCTTGGCGCGCTCCGCGCGCCAGGGAGGGGGATCCAGCGCCGATCCGCGAAATCTGGGCGGACCTCCGAGTCTTTCTGCTTGTGCCACCGTATGTTTGCGTCTCTGTGTGGTCCCCTCTCCTCGTCCTCCTCCGGCGCGTGCCCCCGAGCGCTGCCGAACGTGTCGGGCGAGTTGGGGACGCCCCTGGGCAGAACCGGCTCTCCTCGGGGCGCAGGAGGAGGGGAGGAGGAGGAGGAGGAGGAGGAGGAGGAGGAGGAGGAGGAGGAGGAGGAGGAGGAGGAGGAGGAGGAGGAGGAGGAGGAGGAGGAGGAGGAGGAGGAGGAAGGAGGAGGAGGAGGAGGAGGAGGACGAGGGGGCGACCTGCGGGGTCGCGGCCACCCTCGGCGGGCTCGGCAAGAGATTCGGCGCGGGGGCAGGAGGGTCCCCGCCCGCGGCCAGGTGTGGCTCACGGCGGGGGAGGGCGCAGGCGCACGGGCGCCTCGTCGGGAGGGCCTGGGAGCCGGGCCCACGGGTGCTTCTCGCTGGTTTCCAGCCACCCTCTCTGAGGCGAGCGGGCTGTGACGAGGGAGGAGTGGAGAAGTGGTGTGTTGTGTGTGTGTGTGTGTGTTGTGTGTGTGTTGTGTGTGTGTGTGTTGTGTGTGTTGTGTGTGTGTGTGTTGTGTGTGTGTGTGTGTGTGTGTGTGTGTGTGTGTGTGTGTGTGTGTGTGTGTGTGTGTGTGTGTGTGTGTGTGTGTGTGTGTGTGTGTGTGTGTGTGTGTGTGTGTGTGTGTGTGTGTGTGTGTGTGCGCGCGCGAATGTGTGTGCGTGCGTGTGTGTGTGTGTGTTTGTGTGTGTGTGTGTGTGTGGGGGTGCGCGGGTGTGCGGGTGTGTGCGGGCGGGCAGGGGGCAGGGGAGCAGAGCGGATGATAAGGACTGGGACGGTGGCCAGTGCAAGCAGGGGGTGGCCTCCGCAGGTCTCCAGAGGCCTCCGGAGGCCCAAGGGGAGACCCCGAGCCACTCTTCCCGCTGCCGCAGGACCTCCTCGCGCCCTCGGCCGACTGGACGGGATGGAGATGTGCTGTGTTGGCCACGAACAATGTTCCAGGCGTTCCGGACATGCTCCGGACAAAAAGTTGTTCCGGACAATTTGTTCCGGACATTTGTTCCCGACAACTGTAGGAGTTGACGTCACCCCCTCCCCATCCGCATCCCACATCTCAGATGTGGGATGCGGATGGGGTGGGGGTGGATGGGGGGGGGGAGGGAGGGGCGAATTTCCAGGATTTCCGCAATCACGTAGTGACAAATAGGCTCGCAGAGCTCGGCACTCGGGAAACAGGTCGCGGGCCGCGAGCAATACGATCCGAGTGCTCGCGCCTGGCCTCCCGGCGATGCCGGCGCACCCTTGACACGTTTGGTGCGCCCGCCACCTGCGGCCCCCAGTGGCCCTCTGGCTGCCCGCCGACCCCCTCCCAGGTCGGCGAACCGGCGCACGCTTCGAGCCCCACGGGCGGCTCCAGTGGAGCGACGCCAGAGAACGGGGCCGTCTGTGCCGCCCGTGGCGCGGAAGCTGCCCGCGTCAGGTCGCGCGCCGCGCGCGCCCTCGCCTCAGAGGTGGCGCGCCGCGCGGGCGGCCTTGGAAGGCCACCGGCCGCGGGAGGGCGCCGTGCCATCTCGCGCGGGACCCGGCTGTGGGTCGCCGCCCGCCTGCAGCCCCGGCAGACCCGGCGGCGTGCGCGCCACGGCCGTCGACCTCGGCGCGCCCACCCGCGCGCGCCGCGCCCAAGAGGGACCTCCACACCCTGCGGGCTCCCCTTCGGAGCCTGGGCCGCGCGCCTCGCCGCCGCCGCCTCTGGCGCCCTCCCCCCCCCCGTGCGCCTGCGTGCCCCACGGGGTTGCTCCGCCTGCGGCCCCCGTGGGCCCGACGGCGTACAGTCGGGGCGTTGACCTAAGGAACCCTAAACAAGGAACGAGGCCCCCTTTTTCCATAAGGTAGACTTCGATTTCCCATCGAAAACATAAAGGAAAACCTGAGGCAAGCTGTGAAACACTCCAGGAACGCGGAGCCCCACCCCAACCAAAAGGGTTCCTTCTTCAGGGCCCCGACTGTGCACGACCGCCCCCCGCCGGCGGCGCACCTCTCGCGGGCTCCGTGCCCCCCCCGGGGAGCTCCGTGCCCCCCCGTGTGCCCGGCCGCCTGCGCCTCGCTCCCCGCCGCCCGGGGCGCTCTGGCGCACGCCCCTCGAGCGCTGCTCTCGGTGCCCCCGTCGTTGGGAAGCGGCGCCATGCGGCACTCGTCCGCGCGCGCATGCTTGCTGCGGCGCCCTCGGGGAGAGCAGCGGGACCCCCCGCCTCGAGGCGGGGCGCCGAGGACGGGGGGCCCGGGCGGGCCTCCGGCGAGGGATTGCGGCCGCCTAGCTCGCCCCCCCACCCCCAGGACCTCCGGCTGCTCCAGTGTCTTTTCGATGCGTGGGCCCCAGAGGTCTATGTTTCAGTCGGGCGTGTCCCCCTACAGGGGGATTTTCGACGAAAAATGCAAAATACGCCAAAAATGCCCCACAGAGATCCAAACATACTTTAAAAATCGTCCCCGGATTGTTTTTGGATTCTTTTTGGATTATTTTTCTGGCGTATTTCTTACTTTTCGTCGAAAGCCCCCCTGTCGGGGGACAGGCCCGACTCGGGTCTGGGTCGCTTCCTGCGGGCGCCGGCACGCGTCTGCGTGCGCGCTTGCTCGGGCGCGGCACTCGGGCCCGCGCCGTGTCGACCGGCCTCGACCCCGCCGCTGGCGCCTCAGCGTGGAACGCCGCTGGCGGCCCCGAGTCGGCCGATGTGGGAGGGCCCGACGCTTCGGAAGCGGCCGATCGTTCCAGGCTGAACGATCCCCGCGGCGTCGAGGAGCCGGCGCCGAAGTCGGCACGCGGCCCGGACCTGCCGCACGGCCCTCACACGGAGCGCCCCGCCCGCGAGCGGTCCTCTCGCCCGTGACCCAGACCCCCTCGAGTAAAGAAAAAATCATGACGGGAGGTTTTTCCTACTTTTCGGCCTCCAGGGGCCCTCGCCGGGCCTCGGGAGCGTCAAAAAACGACTCAGGATGCAAAGCCGGTCACGGGGAAAGGGTCGGGACCTTTGGGGGTCGACGCAATGAAAAAATCATTACGTCGGGGGTCTGGGGAGGGTACGCCCTGGACGCGGGCCGTGGGCCGTGCGCCCCCTGCGGAGCTCCCGCCTTCGGCACCAGCCGGGGTCGTGCGGGCACAGCCCTCACACGGATCGTGCCCAGCAGGAGAGCTCGGCGCGAGTTTGTGGGGCGTCGGCCTGCAAGCCTTTTTTTGCGAGTGGGGAATGGCCACGAGGTGGCCCCAGAGGGCCCCCCCACGGGAGTCCCGTGCCACCCTCTTGCTCCGCATTAACACGAGCTCCGGCCCTCCCACGGAGCGGAGCATACGAGCAGGGCGCCGCGCCCTGCGTCACACGCAACTGCACAGGGTGGGGCCTCTCGAGGGGTGAATTTCACAACGTGGACCCCGAGAGGTCGCGACCCCCTCCCCTGGGACTTGCGTTTCACCCCGAGTCGCTTTCTGACGGCCCTGGGTCGGCCGAACTCCTTGCGCCATGACGGTTTCACGATGCGGGGTGGCGGGGGTCGGAAGTTGGTCGACCGATGCCTCCGGTCGAACTCGCTTCGGCAGTCGTTCCCCGAGCCCTCCCCGGCCCGCCCTCGCCAGATCTCCGCTCTGCGCCCCCAGCCGCGGCGGCGAGGACCTCTTGGAAACTCCCCGATCCCTCCGCGAGCACGAGGCGAGGCGCCTGCCCTGGTTCGGAGGCCTAGAGAATGACACCCACACCAGTACCGGTGAGCGACTTGCGTAAGGAACACTTGCTTTTCAGAAGGGGCTCGGGCGTTCCTTAGGCTTGCATGCGTTCTTTACAGTTCCTTATGTGTTATTTGTTATTCATCGTTCCTTATTGATCGTTCCTTAGGTCAGGCCGATGACTGTACCGGTGCCGTGCTTCCACCGAGGGAACACGATCACGGTCTCGGCGATGGTGGTAATTTTCGGGCTGGTGGCCGAAGGAGCACCACCAACACCAAAATCCAGGATCATCTGTCTCCCGTGGAGTCGACCCCCCTGGTGCTTGTGCTGGGGCCCATCTCCAAGCGTCCAGCCGGTCGGCCGATGCTCCGCGCCCGCGCCAAGGGGCGGCGCCCGCCCTGGTCGGCCGATCCCCCCCGCGCCCGCGCACAGGATTGGACACCTGGGGGCGTTCCCGTGGCCAGGCGGCCCCGAAAGCGCTACGCACATTGATTTCCGATGTCGTTTCTCCAGTCTCAGCTAGCGCGCCCGGCTGTCCTCCAGGGGCGCGGGCGCGAGACCAACCGCAGCGTTGCATCCCGTCCTCTCCTGTCCTGTCCGCGCACAGGGGCGGCTCCGTGGTGGCCCTGGCGCTGCGCGGCGGCCGCGGCAGAGGCGCGGGGGAGCTGCGGCGCGAGCTGGGGCAGCAGCTGCGCAGCCGCGGCCTCAGTGGGCCGGCCAGGAGGAGGAGGAGGAGGAGGAAGAGGAGGAGGAGGAAAATGAGGAGGAGGAGGAGGAGGAAAATGAGGAGGAGGAGGAGGAAAAGGAGGAGGAGGAGGAGGAGGAGGAGGAGGGGAGGAGGAGGAGGAGAAGGTACGAGGACGAGGAGGAGGAGGAGGAGGAGGAGGAGAAGGACGAGGACGAGGAGGAGGAGGAGGAGGAGGAGGAGGAGGACGAGGAGGAGGGGGCGGAAGGAGGAGGGGGGAGGAGGAGGGAGGGGGCGGGAGGAGGAGGGGGAGGAGGAGGAGGAGAGGAGGAGGAGGATGGAGGAGGAGGAGGGGGAGGTCTCTGCCGCGGTGCCCCGTCGCTCCTCCTGGCCGCTGCGGGGCCGGGGCGCACCGGCGAAGAGAGAGGGCCTCGCCCTCGAAGGGTCCACGGGTCGCCTCCTCGGCGGAAGGCTCCCAGGGCCGACGACGACGACGACGACGAAGTCGACGAAGTCGACGACGACGACGACGACGACGACGACGACGACGACGACGACGACGACGACGACGACGACGACGACGACGTCGGCCGCCATGCAGCTAACCCAGCGGAGGGCCGGCGGAGGGCCGGCGGAAGCGCGAGGAAGGTGGCGCCGCCTGCGCAAGCCGGGAGAAGTGTCTTCGGGGCTCTTCCTCGTGTTCCTATTCCCCCTCCTCCTCCTGCTCCTCCTCCTCCTCCTCCTCCTCCTCCTCCTCCTCCTCCTCCTCCTCCTCCCCGCCATCCCTCCCGATGCGCATAATTATCTGCAGATTGTGCCCTGCGCGTCCACTAAGCATGTACCTACATGTTTGAACGCAGGTTGGGAGGGTTGAGCCCAGTGTATCGCCCTCTCGCTTTGCTCTAATTAGGAGGTCTGAGACGGTCTAGGGCCGACGAGGGGCCTAAGGCTTTATGTCGGCGATGTATCGCCGATTTCATGTCGATGCGTCCCCCCCTATGCCAGTCCCCCCCATTATCGTTGCAACTCAAAACGGGGGTCAGCTGGGGCCCCGGATCTTGCAGAACCCTGCAGGGCCAGGGGTGCGGCGACCCGGACTTGGGCGCAGGATCCTCCAGGATTTTGTGCTATCATGCGCTGGCCCGGCTGGCCCGGGTCTGGAGGGCCCCTGGTCCGTGGATCCCCGATCCCTGACCTTCCAGGGTGCTGGAAAGATAGCCCTCCGGACCTACAGACCTGTCCGGGCCGGAATTTCGACGTCGAGGTCCTGGTGCTATGATTTGACCCTCGAGGGAGGCCTGGGATGTCGTCTGTTCTCTCGGCTTCCTGACTTTGGAGTGAGCCACTCGTGGGCAGGCGGGCGACCGGTGCCGCCCGCCTGCGCCGGGGTCTGGCGGCGCGTGCCCGCGGCCGTGCCCGCCCCCGGGGCCCAGCCGAAGTCGGGGCGCGTGAGCAGCGCAGGGATCGCCGGCTGCCGGGCTGCCCGATCGACCCAGAGATCCAACGCATTCCTTGAGATCCTGGCGTTGTAGTTTTTTGCAACGGGCGTTTTCGCTTGATTTCGGGTCCCGGGACCCTCACAGATCGATCGGGCTCGAAAAGTGACGCGGAAAGATGAGGTCCGGGCCTCTGGGCGTGATTTTTGCGATGTTGCAATTTTTTTGCAAAGTCGGCTATCTGGGTTGTATGAATCAAGACGGAGGTTTTTCTCCAATTTCGGCCCTTGCAGGGTCCCTCGCTGGGCCTCGCGAGACCGTCAAGCAACGACTCGGGATGGAAAGCCGGTCCCGGGGAAGGGGTCGAGACTTCCGGGGGCCCCGTGCTGAAAAAATCACGACGTCGGACCTCAGGGGACGGCGGCGCGCGCCCGGGGGCGGGGTCATAGGGGGAGGGGAGAAGGCTCCTCAGAGGGAGGCTGCTTCTTAGAAGGCGCCGGCTCTAGATGTGCAGAGAAGGCCCGCGTCTTCCGAAGGGCCAGGGGTGCTTCTAATGAGCCTTCCCCTCTCCCCCTATACCCCCCCTGTGCGCGCCGCCCAAGCGACGATGGCGGAGCCCCCGGCGTCGACGTCGGCCGCGAAGCTGGGCAGCCCGCTGTCAGGCCCTGCGAAGTGGGGCTCCTGGGGAGAGCGCGAGCGAGGTTGGCGCGGGGCCGGCGGGCGAGACGCATGGAGGCACTGCGCCACGCCAAGGGCCCCCGCGGAGGCTGTGAATCCCGTTGGGAGGCAGAGCGCGGGTGGAGTCCGTCAAAATGGAGGAGGGGGAGGAGGAGGAGGAGGAGGGAGGAGGAGGAGGAGGAGGAGGAGGAGGAGGAGGAGGAGGAGGAGGAGAGGAGGAGGAGGAGGAGGAGGAGGATGAGGAGATGAGGGAGGAGGAGGAGGAGGAGGAGGAGGAGGAAGGAAAGAATAGGAGGAGGAGGAGGAGGGGGGGAGGAGGAGGGGTGAGAGGTGGGGGAGATGAGGGAGGAGGCGGAGGAGGAGGAGGCTAGGAGGAGAGGAGGAGGAGGAGGAGGAGGAGGAGGAGGTGAGGAGGCAGGGAGGCGGGAGGAGGATCGGGGAGGAGTAGAGGAGGAGGAGGTAGGAGGAGGAGGAGGAGGGGGGGCGGAGGAGGAGTGGTGAGGAGGGGGGGGAGAGGAGGATGGAGGAGGAGGATGAGGAGGAGGAGGAGGAGGAGGAGGAGGAGGAGGAGGAGAGGAAGGAGGAGGAGGAGGGGGACGACGAGGAGGAGGAGGAGGAGGAGGAGGAGGAAGGAGAGGAGGAGAGGAGGAGAGGAGGAGGAGGAGGAGGAGGAGGAGGAGGAGGAGGGGAGGAGGAGGAGGAGGAGGAGGAGGAGGAGGAGAGAGGAGGAGGAGGAGGAGGAGGAGGAGGAGAGGAGGAGGAGGAGGAGGAGGAGGAGGAGGAGGAGGGAGAGGGGAGGAGGAGGAGGAGGAGGAGGAGGAGGATGGTAGGAGGAGGAGGAGGAGAGGAGGAGGAGGAGGAGGAGGAGGAGGAGGAGGAGCGAGGAGGAGGAGGAGGAGGAGGAGGGGAGGAGGAGGAGGGGAGGAGGGAGGGAGGAGGGAGGAGGAGGAGGAGGAGGAGAGGAGGAAGAGGAGGAGGAGGAGGAGGAGGAGAGGAGGAGGAGGAGGAGGAGGAGGAGGGGGAGGAGGATTTTTTTTTTTAAGGGTCAACCCATGATCAGCCACATGACTCCGCTGGCGTGGCGAGTGCCAGCGAGAAAAACGGCCGCGCCACGGTCGGGGCCGTGCCCCCGTGGCGCGACCGGAGCGCGACCAGGGAGCGCAGGAGACCGTGCTCCGCGCTCCCTGGTCGGGGTAGGGGGCGCGGAGCACGTGCTCCGCGCCAACCCTACCCACCACCCACTCCATGGGTGGCCGCGTGGACCCCGGGACCCCGACACGACACGACACGACACGACAGGGGGACGAAACGAACGACGCGACACGAACGACACGACACGAACGAGCGACACGACAGGGACGGGCCGCCGACCCCGCCCCAGGGCGGCAAGTGCTGGGGGGGAACCCAGCACCGCCCTGGGGAAGCACACGGGGCCTGGCGACCCCCCCGGGGGAAGGAAACCGCGCTTTGGCGGCGTCCCCCGGGGTGCGGGG